ATCTAAGGGCAGCATAACTGAACTCACACCACTTCCCGGAGCATGACTTTCATTGACTTGCACATTGTAATTCCAAGGAACACATGCATGTCTTTGTTACAAAGATTTAGACCATCTGGTCAGCTGCTCGCACATTTTTCAACTTCTCCACAGCCCACTGAGCCACATTTGCTCTCGTCCATCCCTCTCCGTCAATCCGCAACTGGTATCATCCATGAATTTCTGTCCGATCTCCACCAAGCTCACTTTGAGCTCATCTGACAAACGGGAACCTCTTCTCCTTGGACCGGATTCAGATGAAACCAGTGACCACTAACCTTCCCCAGTCGTTCCCCGTTCCCCATCATCAATTCTTCCACGTCACGCCCACCAACCCCATCTCAATTTCAGCAGATATTTTAAAGATCTCTTTCACTCTTTCTGAAGGTCCGCTCAATCATGACCTCGATCCTCCAAGACCTTCCCTACCCCTCACTGTCCATGCGAAATATTTCACAACCTCTGACCTCCTTGACAAATGCAAAGACCTGGAATGCTCTGTCACCTGCTAAATGCCTGCCAAACTCTGCATAAAACTCCATATTTAAATCCCAGCACTCACGTTTCCACGCTTGCCACAGAAACGAAACAGTTCATATCAAAGTTACATGTGAAACACTATGTGATTGGAACAAAAATAAATTATTCTTCCCCTTGCTTCCTAAACTATCTCCAGCCTTAAGCAGAGCTGAGTACATCCTCCTCCTCCTACACATCGAAATCATTGTCCAGCTTGGCGAGTGAGCAGGCTATTTGTGTCAATTCAAGTTACTAATTCACAAACAGACTGTGACCTGTAATTGTTTGTCCTGCAGCCTTGCCTCTGTTTTTCCGAAAAAAATCTATCCTTGGTTTCACGTCTTTTTTTTTTGATCATCTGCACCCTGAAACACCAGGGCAGGTCTTATCTGCTAACTATCAGCATCCAAATGTACCTCGTTACATTGTCTCTTGGCTCCTCCACTATAATTAATTGATCAGCTTGTGTCTCTTATGTTCTGTATTAGTAAATCAGAAATTTCCTCCAAATCAATATTAGGAAATCTGAAGACAATTTCTTCACA